GGATACACACCTCCGGATGAAATCATCCATATAATCGCACGTCCTGTCACCATTGGTAAGTGTCTCCTAATGGTTTACCTTTCGAACATGAAAATTTGCAGTTATCTCATTTTTTTATTCGATCAGGAAAAAGAAAACCGGATGAGGAAAATGAAAGTAAAAGCAGTAAAAAAATGAAACTAAAAGGTGTGTATAATGTATATATTGTATATTTCATTTTGATGCTAAACATTAATCGTCTTAACATACATAATTATTTGTTAGATGATTCCCGTAAAATCATGGCAGACATAAAGAAACTTGATGGGAATCCTGCTGTTTACTCAAACCCTCAAAACTTCCTTTCATTGCCATTCCCATATCCTGGATCAAAAAGACCAATAGATAGGTTTACTATTAGTGATGATGGTTTTTTTACCTTCATGGGAAGAAAGAAATTCAGCGATGTTCTGGACAAAATCATAGAATTTAAAGCGAAAACTGGTTATATGAAAATGTTTATTTATGGCACAGTTGGGTATGGAAAGTCACATATTCTCACAGCTATAGCTTGCTTTCTTCTCCGGAGCGAAAGGCGTGTTGTATATCTTCCCGATTGCCGCGAACTGGCTGTAAACCCATTAAGCTACATCAAATCAGCCTTATTTCTCACCTATGCGGATGATGATGCGAAAATAAGCGAAATTGATGCCTGTGAAAATTTTGATCAAATCGTAAAATTTTGTGAATTATTAAATGAAACGATATACTTTATCATAGACCAAATGAATGCTCTGGATGATTCTAGTAATACTGGAATTAGCCTAAAGGAAAAGATTCAAGTTAAACGAAACCTCGATAAAATGTGTTCAGAACATTTTTATATTAAGAGTTCTTCAGCAAACAACCAAACAGTATTGCACCTTAGGCAAAAACAGACCAATGAAAAGAAAATTGAACTTTATGGAGGGTTCGATAAGGTAAGACTAAGATGCCCTACGTTGTGAATTTTCTGTGTATTAATGTAATGTTTAATTTAGGAGGAGATGGAAGAGTGGTGGAAGAAGCATAATTCCGTTTTACCAACAATGAATAATCAGCAGAAGGATCGAATTGAAGACATCACCGGCAATATTCCGCTCTTCTTAAACGTTTTGCTGGAATCTGATTGCAAGGATTTTGAAGATGCATTAGGCTACTTAGATCAACAATTAACATCAATGATACAAGAGCCGATGACAAGCTTTTCAGAGAAAATTTATAAACTAGACAATAAACATTGGGATTTGTATGTATTTTTAGTTTGCTTCGTGATTGGTAAACTGTATGAAAACTGACTTTCTCTATTTACACAGTCACATCAACTTGATGTCATCGTTCCTGACAAAAGGATATCCTCCAAGTGGCTACGGAGTTGATGATTTTGATCATCGCTTCTTCTACATTAAAGATGAACTCTGTCATTATATCTGTGGGATGGCACGGGATTGCATGGCGAATCATCTCTATAGAAAGGGTAAAATGGAAGTATTTACAGATATAAAGTGGATCAGTTGCATAGAGAAATTCAAAAACAACCCATCGGTTAAAGGATTTTTGTGGAGAAGGCGTGTATTGCTAGTATTTTTAAGAACGGAATTATGGCGAACCGTGTAAATTTTAAGCCTAACGATATGGAATTTTTTAATGATGAAAAGAAATCCGATTTTCTTCGAATGAAGGGAGATGTATGCTCTACTTACCACGCTGTTGGAACCAAGAGGCGATTGATGGATTACTGATTTCTCAAACAAATAATAAGTTGTATGTTGCCCCAATACGGATTACCCTTGATAAGAGTGGTCATTCAGATTCTGAGGGAAAAATTTTCTCCAGTATTTGGTCAAATTTAAAATCAAATTTATCAGGTTTCGAGGACGGATTAGAGATAATATTCATATGGATTACAAGCAAAAGTGGTACAGACACGAAAATGGAAAGAAAGTCTAGAAAAACACGAAATAGTTCTTTTGAAATTAATCCCGAATACATTCAGGTAGTAATGGGATTTGGGAATGTCAACAGAGATATTGATCGATGTTTGTCTTTCATTAGTTTATAGAACTGGCACCGGGTAGCGATGATAGGACGGTGCGAGAAAAATTTAGTTCTCATTGATAAAACAATAGAAATTTTATTGTGTTGAAATTTACAAAGCGAAAATCTTTAATTTTTCAAAATCAATGGAGTAGCGAATTTCAACTAACCCGTAAAATAAGAGTTCCTTCCCACTACTCATTATTAACTGTTTTACTATCGGTCCAAGCTCCTATTTTATCTAAATTGATTTTATGATAATCGAATCATTACAACATTACACATATCGTCAAAAGAGTGTTCTTTTTTTCTGCCATAATCCTATCAAAAATAATTTTAAAAAGTTATATCCGAAAATGATCGTTGGCTCGAACTTCGTTCAATCTCATCAAGTCTTGCAGTGAAAGTATTAAGCATTGTCAAGATTCTTCGGATCTCCGCTGTAAAGTTTTCGTCGCGTGAGGTAAGTTCAGTGTTAAATTTTGCACGGTAATCGATGAGTTCGGTTAAGAACCTGGCATCACGATTGGCATTAAACGTAGTATCACGTGCAAAAGGGTCGGAATTATGCTTAACAAACCTTAATCGTTAGAAATTAGATACATTTTCGAGCGTATGGATCTTTTTATTTATCGAGGGTAGGATTTATTAGCAGAGCTCACAAGGCTAAAATTTGTTAAATGGTTTATTCTCCAAATCATTAATTATTATAAAGAAGGAGTAAAGGGTCTCGGATATTTTTTTTCTGCCTTTTTATATAAAAAATTACAGATCAAAATTTATTTATAGACTTGGACAGAATGGACGAGAAATTGCCAGAGCTTTTTATTGCAAAGCAGGTCTATAGGGATGACTCAAAGAGTCATGGTAACCCACTTTATGTAGATAAAATGTGTTAATTGGATCAATAATGCTTTGCTCTTGTAATATTGACATCAGCTTTGTTATACGTACCACTAACTTCAAATTCAAATAATTAATCAATCTTCTAACTCAATTAATTTCTTTTGCAATAGTATCTATCCTGATATAAATCCCAAAATTATAAATTTTATATAGATGATAAACATATAACTATGGTCCCAAAAATTGGAATCAAACAGACTGGCTATTTAGCTAGTAATCTTAATGCTCTTGATTTTGTACTACATCAGGCACTTGAGTACCATTACTTTGTAATACATATCATATACTATATTACAAAAGGTTATGAAACATCTACATACATGATTAATTGTATAACCTATGATTGTTGTTATAAATTCTAAATTTTGTTGACTAACCCATGGCATATGTATTTTTTTGTAAGAAGTTTTTTTGCCATGCATCACTTCAGTTCCACATTTTCTGAATCTAATATTTTTATATCTAAATAAAAGCAGAAATAGGTAGATAAAAATATTTTAACATCTTATACTAGTTTTACTAAAAGATCAATATATTTATATTGTAATTGTTCATCACTTTATAATGAATTTTTTATAATATAATATTTTACTAAAAAACTTTTGCAATTAAATATGTCAACTATCATATTTAATAGAAATCAGATGAATAATATATATTACAAAGTTATATTAATATAATATTATTTTGTATCAATTCAAATATATATATATAACTATCTGTAGTCTATATCATATCAAGATATTGAAGACAATATGATGAATTAATTTTTGTAATAATAATATCTATATATATAAACTGATATATATATATATGTAAAAAGTAAACAAGTTCTCCTTGATAATAATATAATAATATACAGTGGTACCCAAAATTATTTGGAATTTTTCTCAATATGTACAACTCAATAAAAAACTTATCTAAATCAAATACAAA